AAAAGTATTTTCAGTTCATTACATTTTACATTACGATCATTTTTCTTCTAGCTGTTATCCAAGATTAATCTAGCCCCGTCCCTTCCTTTATCATCGGTGATGCCTTCACTCTGCCAAAAAACCATAGATAAATAAAGCATTGTTTTTAAAACACTCTTTGAAATTAAATACCACATTGGCTATGGAGATGGGACATTTTGACAGACGGCGGCGCTCCGTCGCATTACATCTAAGAAAGAATTTCTCACGCATATTTCATGTTATTGTTTTTTTAACTGAATATCTTTAGGAAATGTGTAGCAAAATAATTACGCTCTTAACTGAATTGTATAACACTCTGGTAATAACTTATTATATCTAAAACCTATTAGCAATTTAATGGCAATGGAAAAAGAATTAGTAATAGCGCCATCTTTTGTTATTTTACAAAACTAAATGAACTGGATGAGAGTATGGAGAGGACTTATAAATATTGTTATTATATCAATACCTCTGATATCAAATATCAGTACAATATTTACCTGAAACAAAACACTCCTAATCCCTAATCTCAGACAACACTGCGGCGTATTTCCATGAAATATTCATTTTATTCAACCAGCTTTGATTGCTGAGAAACAATGGCGTAACGTAGTCATTTCCGTCTCTTTCATTCTTCATGAATAAAACAGAGATAGCAATAGTGTTGGAGTAGAGTCGTATACAGAAATGTATTGCTATCTCTTTTACTTTTAGTAAAACAACATATCTTTTTAATTTTATAATCTGGCAAACGAGGAATCGGTCACGTGAATTCCCGGAAATAGCGTAGCGACTCGTGCCCGTTAAAAAATTCTTATTTCTTATTAACATTACAAATGCAAAAGTTTGGATGTCTGGATGTTTGCTACTGCGTTTCTCCAAAACGGCTTAATGTATGTTAAAGGAATTTGGCACATATGTAGAATATAGTGTTTAAAAAAACATAGGCTAGCTAGCTAGAGATTTTAAACTCACACGGATTAGCGGTAAAAACTAATCTATCTATACATATAATAAAATTGAGTGTCTGTTTGTAATGGCAAAAGAAAAATTCCAGAATGAAAGATGATGTATTTGCGTTCCTAACAAAATCTCATTTTAAAAATTTTTGTCTGTCTGTCCGCAAGCCGTGTTTGTTTTGGTTAATCTCCGAAACGGCTGGCCCGATACCGACCGGACCATCACTGAAGGGTAGCTAACATAGACGGTCTATAGGCTCCTTTTTATATTTATACTAGCTATTCCCGTGCATCTTAATCCGCATGGAATTATAAAAACTTTATTTTATTCAAAATTAAAGTTACCATAATAACCTTAATGTTGGTAGCTTGTAGTTTATGGTCCCTTTCCCACGTGTTGGTTTTTTTCCAATTTATTCATCCCCTAAATTTAATCGCGTGAAAATATATACTCTAAAGCGTGTCGTAAGTGCAGGGCTTTTTATTAAATAAAGAATTATTCAAAAATATGCTGTGATTGCTGACATCCTGCGCCACAAAGTACTGTGTGTTTACGCTTTATTGAGTGGCCGAATTCGCGGGTACAGTAAAGTACTAAAAAGGTTCATTATGATTTTAATTTCATATTAATTATATAAATAAGGTAGCGTGACGTATAACAGTTGAATGCATGGAATAACAAAGTTCCACTAGTGCGTGTTAGCGAGCGAGTCACCTTTATACAAACATTTATATTGAAAATATTGTTAGCAATATTTATTAATATATTGTGCGATCACGTAATATGGTTGGGAAACACGAAAATAATTGTATTATACGAAGCATAAACGGTACAAAATGAGCTCATATTTTTAATCATACTAAACTGATCAAAACATTTTTATAATCCTAAGAGGGCTAAGTGATAAGCCCGACTGCCCGATCACAAGGCATTGGCTGCGCGGACACGTACCTAACGTAACATGACCTAACATACCCTGCGTTAGGTCTTGTTTTGTTTAAGAATACATGTATATTTTTTTTTCTTATTGTTCATTGTATATATTGTAATTATGTGTATTTAATTTTACACGATTTAAATAAATAATTATTTTCTATTAGCTTTCGCCCGCGACTCCGTACGCGTGGAATTAAAAAAAAACAAAAGTGAGTAGCCTATGTGTTCTTCCAGACTATCCTCTATATCTATACCAAATTTTATCGAAATCCGTTTAGCCGTTTAGGCTACAAACTCTAACAAACATCCATCCATCTAAAGTTTCGCATTTATAATAGTATGATTTGATTTCTTATCTCTACCACGTTTGAAATATAATCACGCAACCTACACAAAAAGCTTCAAGTTTTTATATTTGTTAAAATCTTGTTCTGCAACATAATTACTGGAAAACGGATGAGAAATCGTAGAGACGGCATTTCTAAAACTCGAACGCAACGGAAAATTATTTGCTTCTTACATAAAATTTTAAGCGTTATAAACGACCTCATTTCATTTCCACTGCTTCCTGTACACTGCTTTACTTAGAGACGTTAATTGGTTACTAACAGTGGTAGAGCCCGCTTTAACATCTTCGCACGAATGTGCCGGCTCGACGGTGAAATACAACACAAAAGATAGGCGTGTAGTGGGAGCAATTCCGGGTTTCGTCTGATGAGTATGGTGCCGCAGGCTCTATTTTAATCCCTTTTCCATCCCACCCTTTTCTTAACAGGAAATATTGGGAACAAATTGTGGATTTGACGGCGGAGGAGACGCAAAGGAAGGGTAAATATCCTATTTATGTGCGTCTCCTCTTCAGTCGATTAAGGGTAGGTAACTGTAATTGCGGATGTCTATGGGTAGCGGTCGCTTCGCCATTTGGGCGTATTCAGGTAGCCGCTAGCTCATTTGCCACCTTGAATTATAAAAAAACTAAGGATGTCTGATAGCAAAGATTTAGTCTTTTTAAATGTGGCCGTAAGTGATTCTCAGTTACGATATTTAAAAAAAAATTAACAATTGAATAGTCTTAGGACTTTCTTTCCGATCGTTTCAGTTCTGTGTGTTTATATTCTGTGGACAATATCAAAATAAACATAATGTTGATATTAAATTAATTTTAAATACAAGCTCGTATTCCGCGTACTTATGTTTAAAACGAGCTCATTGACGTCCGCTTGCTGTCCTACCAAAATAACTTGCACGGATATAAATGGCCGCTTTAACTGAACCTGAGAGGGAATGTGCTGCAGTTTTATTCACACTTGTATAACTGTAGTTTTAGTACTATTTTGTCAAAGAATCAAGACCGGTACAAAGGTTCTGTATTAACTGAACTTTGTACTACCCTTAGGCAATATTTTACTATCGCCATCGTTGATCGAAAAGTCAATAATGTATGGCAGATATTCGATAAGTCACGTATTCATGTACATTTTGACATATTATGACGATTCCACTAACAATATCGCTAATCGAGAGTTATTTTTAAGACTGATTATTCTGTTAATGTGTACGTTTTAAAGCTCACTAAATAGGCAAATTTCTAACAATAATATGTAGGCAAAAATAATGTCAGTTGAATTACTCAATTAAAATTTTGCCTACACTTACAATTTTAACTGAAACGTTAAAATTTAGTAAACACTATCAGAACAGTGCGTATGTTGTAGGCTTATCTGTGATTTGAACTGTTCAGTTATATTTTTGCCTACAGGCATAGTTTTAACTGGACCTTTCGACTGTTCAAATAAAATTGTCAGAACATAGCTGGCTTAAAAGTCAGACCAATCGAATTCTTAATTTAACATTGTTGCTATTAACTAAAATGTTACGAATTTAAACTCTACAATTTATTTCGCGTTTACATTATTTTACGTAGTTTGCCTAAACAAATGGTATAGAAGCATTACCTATGAAATAATACTAATCAGACTTCATACTAATATTACAAATGCGAAAGTTTAGGTGGATGGATGGATGGATATTTATTAGAGTTTGTAGCCTAAACGACTGAACGGATTTCGACGAAATTTGGTATCGATGTAGAGGATAGTCTTGAAGAACACATAGGCTACTTTACTTTTTTTATCCCACGCGGACGGAGTCGCGAGCAAAATCTAGTAAACTAATAAAAGCTAAATATACTCAACTATATTATAATACTTAGGGATAATGCAACACTATGCTGAAGTAATCTACAAAATCCGTCCGTACCTTTTAGATTTTATTGCCTACAAACAGGCAAATCTTTTATTTATTTACGTATTAAAGAGATTTGTATTTTTGTAGCGAATAAACTCCAAAACTACTGAACTTATTTTTATAATTCTTTTACTATTAGAAAGCTACATTATCACTCAGTAACATGGGCTATATTTATTAATAGTTTTTTTTTTTTAATTCTGATAACATCGCAGGTAAAAGCAGTAATAGATACATTTTTAGGCGGCAGCTAAACTAGTTTAGTTACTAAGGGAGTTATTTAGTTTAGAATAATCAAATGCGGTAATATGTAGACATTCTGTTAAGGAAATAACATTTCTGTTTAGATTTTCATATTGAAGCTTTTGTGTAATTACTGCGGAGCGAGCATTGTGTACCGACTGCCGACTGCCGAGACCCGAGTGGAGGCTTGCTGTTTAGATTTGTTTTGTTCTACACTATTCTCTTTATTTCTATCTTAACGTTTTATGTTTAAAATAATACATTTTGTATAAAAAAAAATACGATTACGAACATATATATGTTATCTGCTTTCATATTTATTACATCTCTTTGGAATTTATTTCGAGACATTCAAATTGAGATTTTAAATAATATTTTACTCTACTCAGTTGAATTAGACGTTTAATAATTACTAACTAAATTTTGTAATAATTAATAATGACGCTATTATTATACTTTTCCAGTACAATTAAATTAAATTATTGAAATATAATTTTCTTCCTTCGCCGTATTTGCCTTGCGTTTAATGTGCGTAAATCTATACATTTTTCAAATCATAATTAACAACAAAATTATTTATAAAAACCCCTTACCTGGCGCAACCCTCTGGAAAGAGCCTCTTTTATTTTTAATATTCACCCTCTTTCACTTGTATCACAACCTAGTTTCATATTAATATTATTATACTATTAAAAAAAAACACAACACACAAAGGTTTAAAATAATTAACAACAAACGGGCTAACCTAATTGATTAATTTACTCGAATAAAAGTCGATTGTTCTAATATAATAACACGTCCGTCGCCCACAAGTTCCCGACGTCGACTGACTGAACAGAGCTGAAAGTTCCCAGTTTCCCAGTAAGGCTTCCTGCGCGATGTTGCAAGCGCGGGGGAAATCGCCCCGGTAAGTGCAGTATGACAGACGTGTAAAGCACTTTTTGGTTCAAAATATCAGCTCACATAGCTCAACAACTAAATCACCTCAAGTATGACGTCAACTATCATTGTCACGAACTGCCCGGTGATTGGCTCAACAAATCGAACCCCTATTCAGGTATAAAATGAGCAAATCTGTGCGCCGATGTGTTCAGAGAACTGATCTACAAGTCAGTTATAGTTGAGTTTCCCATGACTAATATGCTGTATTTACTGACGTTATATTTAGACGATTTTTGTGTATTAGATACTCCTTAATTTGTTCTGTTCCGACATTTCAACGGTTACAAGATATCGTGTGATTTTGTTCTTGTTACATTGAATTTTATAGATAAAATCGAAGGCTCTGTATTTATTGGATGTTAATATTAAAAAATATTTATCGCTTATAAATGTGGAAGTTTTTTTTTAAATTGCAAAAACCAGCGCTTGACCACTATCCCATCTAGACCAAGGTGAAGATGTGGTCAAAGGATGGTACGCGCTAGTTTAGTAAGTACCGATTCACCCTGCTCTTAAAGGCACCCACGTTATAACTTGACGGGAACACTGACGCCGGCAACTTATTCCACTCCTTTGCTGTGCGCACGAGAAACGAAGTTTAGATGGATGGATATTTGTTAGAGTTTGTAGCCTAAACTGCTGAACGGATCTCGATGAAATTTGGCATAGATGTTGAGTCTGGAAGAGGACATAGGCTACTTACTTTTGTTTTTTTTTTAATTCTGTGCGGAAACAAGTAAAGTTATATTTTTAACACTCTTATACGGAAGATTGTTATTTCATTTTGGTAGTTGTAGGTTTTTTTAATTCTGTACAACTAAAATGTGCTTCTGCCCCCAAATTACAGTCAGGGGCTTTTTATGCTTCCCCAGGGAGACATTAGGATTTGCGGACTCGGATTGTGTCGTACTTAATATGACCTGGATTACTATTGTCAAGGGAAAAAGAGGCTTGAATCGAAAATATACCTAATTAAGAATTCAATTTATATTCTAAATAGCACTTAGAAAAGAGTTTTATTTATTTAACTATTGTATCTTAGAAACGGCAGTTCGTAGAAAAATAGATGCGAAGTGGTTTAGATAATTTCTTAAACCGAAATATTCCAATTCGCCAAAAAACAAGAAAAATTCAGATTTGTGACCTTAGGCAGAACCTTTCTTCCAAATGTGGGATCTAAGAGGTCATATATGGTGGTATTTCTAAAATTTCCACCAATCATCAGTTCTACGAAAATTATTATTATTTCAATAGTTAATATAATATAATATAATATAATATAATATAATATAATATAATATAATATAATATAATATAATATAATATAATA